GAGAGAGAGAGAGAGAGAGAGAGAGAGAGTGTGTGTGCATGTAATTCTGAGTGTTTGTCATCCAGATTTGTGTTTAGTTTTGTATGTGAATGCATGTATGTCGATCAGTCAGTCAATCTGCCGATTTGAGTGTGTGTGTGTGTGTGTGTGTGTGTGTGTGTGTGTGTGTGTGTGTGTGTGTGTGTGTGTGTGTATGTGTAAGTGTTGTGTTACCTATAAGATATTCAGTGTGTGTCAACATGAACATTTTTGCATTATCTATAACACATATATACTGACAGTGTGCATATAACTTTGTGTCTTTGTATGTTGTGCTACTTGGCAACAACCTGCAAGACAGACTGCCAGACTAGGAGTGTGTTTCTGCCTGTGTGTCACTTGTACAGCATACACTAAGTCTCTACCAGTATGTTTTTGCAGTAGTGTCACCCGTACAGCATACACCTGTGCTGCATACATTGACGGCGTGTCTGTCAGTGTGATCTGTGTCTATCAGTGGGATTTGTGTCTATCAGTGTGTTTTGTGTCTATCAGAGTGATTTGAGTCTGTGATTTGTGTCTGATTTGTGTCCATCAGTGTGATTTGTGTCTATCAATGTTATTTTTGTGCTTCTGCACATCAGTGTGCTTCTGCATACCTGTAAGACATAGACTGGCGGCATGAAGTTGTCATCCCGTGTGTACCAGGTATCGATGACTTCACCGGTGTCCAAGCCAAGCTCGTCCACTTCCTGCCGGAGAACACCAAATTCCTCCACTGAGACACAGTGAGGAAGTGGTTTGCTGCCATAGCGATCTCCAAGCAAGGCCTGGAACAGAGCAAAGAAGTTTGTCCAAGGCAGTATCATAGACTTCATAATATGAATTCTAGCAGACATTGTCATAGACTTTATACCAGACTTTGTGATAGACTTTGTGATATACTCAGTACGCAGTAGCAGATAAAAATGTGTTGCAGCGTGATGAAAACAGGCGCTCATCAATTATTTGGCGTATTGAGTCATTGGTATATTCTTAAAGCCTGTTCATTTGCCTTGTTTTTCATGACCAAAAAAGCTTGAAGAGAAGGCCAGATATTTGCGATTGAAGGAGGTGGGGGTCACCTGGTGTTAGAGATAAGATAAGCGAGAATATGGCTGCCAAAGTTCGATGACTTCCAAAGCTGTAGTGTCCTTGGAAACTACATATCTACATTTGTGTGCCTTTGATCAACGTTTTTCAGTAAAATGCAAGCAGGAATGTGTTTTAGAATGAAAATAAAAGGTGTTGATCCTAAACAAAAAACAAAAAAGTGATAAAAACTGCCAAATGGGGGGGGGGGGGGGGGCACACCAACAGACATCCCTTTCTGACCTATGACCTCGCATTCAACAACAGCCAACAGACGTCACTTACTGACTTATGACCTCTTGTACTTCAAAGACGAGGACACGACTGACCTCAGACACTGTGACAGCTACCAGCTTGTCCCCCGAAGATGTGAAGGTCAAGTTCTGGATCTCTGAGCCCACGGATACAGAGAAGAGGGAGGTTGCGGAGTGCACTTGCCACAGATTAACCAGACCACTAGTGCAGGCGGAGGCCACAAGCTCGCCGGAGGGAGAGAAACATGCCTGGATCACCTGTGAAAGAGCAATCAGGGATGGCCTTACTTTATGAACTGATTCATTCAGTCAGACGACTTACATATTTCTAGTCTCATAGTCAGTCAAATGGCTTTAATATGTCTCAAGTCATGTCGTTTGTTGGGTGACTTAGATATCATGCATCATGTAGTCCGTCAGAGCAAATTACGAATTTCAAATCATGAAGTTAGTCAGGTGGAAAAACAAAGTCTCTGGTCATTATATAAGTCAGTTAGATGTATTGGATATCTAAAGTCACGCTGTAAGTCAATGGACTAAGGTGTTTCAAGTCAGTTGGGTGATTTGCGCATTTCAAGCCGTACAGTGAACTAGACTGGTTTACTGCAAATGATTTACGACACAAATAAGACCTTTTAGGAGATGAACTGAGTTAACCTTATCGTCAGAGCCAACCAGGTCTGGGTGGGATACAGCATCCACGAAGAAAATAACGTACATACTTCATAAAACTGACTTCCCAACATGGGAATCGAACTCAAGTCAAGTTTCTTGCCTGCATCGGCAAAAACCTGATGATTACACCATAGACGCCGATGCAATTAGTAGGGTGACTACAACTTCTCAAGTTATGTAGTCCATATGTTCGTTTAGTATATTGAGTCATACAGTCAGATGAGTGATTTTGGATGTCTTAATCAAAGTCATGTCGCCAGTAAAGTGACTTCGGCATCGTAAGTCTAGCAGTAACATAAAGGACTTAGGTCTCCCAAGCCATGCAGTCAGTCGGATCATTAGGTACCTCAAGTCACCCTATCAGTCATGTGACTTACCGGCGACGGGTGTTTGCTGGTAGGAGCTTTCATCCCGACGGGCATGCCAGTTTCAGCGACGTAGACCATGAGGTATCCGTCTTGCGAGCCCACAGCTATGTATTTGAGGTCAAACGACATCTGGAGTACAGTGTTTGCACCCACACATCCACGACCCACCCAGTCGGGCCGGTACATCTTGGTCTTGCGAGTGGCTTTGCACATGGTCTGGTCACAACTGCCAGTGGGTACGTCCCAGAACATCACCCAGCGGCGGGTGCTGACCATAAAGATATTGCCAAGATATGGCTCCACAGCCACACCCAAATGCGGTACCTTAGACAGTCGGTGGAAGGCGTAAAGAGGTGCCCCAGATTTCTGTGACAAGTCCACGGCCACAAAACGGAACGGGTGCTTCTGCTTGGGCAAGACTTTTCCCTTGGTCCACAAAGCAGCGATGGAGTCATACTCTCGCTGGGTGACCTCGGCTTTGAGTACAGCATAACGCTCCGACCGACTGACCATCACCTGACAGCTTACAAAGCGGAAGTTGGCATTGACGGAGAAGATCTTGCTGCTCGAGTTGGACTTGATGTCGTACATGTAGAGGACTGGTTTCGTTTCCATGGCAACCAGAAGTGCTTTGGTTCTGTTGGTCATGAGGCTGAGGCAAGCGATTTGAGCGGGAAGACTGTCGCAATATATGAGCCCACTGGTCAAACAATAGACACGCAGTTGCATGTTGTCCCCATCCCGCACCATTAGCTTGTCCTCAGGAAGCACGTACAGCTCCGAGCCCACAATGTCCAGATCAAACTCTCTGACCAGCATGTTGTCAGCCAGTGACCAACACTTGCACCGCCGATCTCGACCAACAGTGATCAGTTCCCGGCCGTCTGCAGACACTGTCAGGCATATGATGTCACGCTGGTATTCCAACACTTTGGAATTATCCACACCTGCAGTCTCAGAGACTTTGGACACGAGATCTCCCAGGAAAAACTCCTTCTGGTTCCAAAAGCTCAACTTTTCTTCCTCGTTCAGTAAAGCAATTTGGTCCTGGTAAAACCCCAACGCTGTGATGGATGCCCCGGCAAGTACTCGAGACTGGACCAATTTCAAGTTGCCGGCTTGGTATATGGAAATACAGTTGTCTACGTCAGCTATGAGGACTCTGTCCATCTCCCAGGAAACCTCCCAGGCGCGAACATTCTTTGGGTGTTCCAGAGTCTTATCAAACGAGCGTGTCTCCACATTGAGTAGCTGGAGATTACAGTCGCCAACCTGGAACCAGACCTGGGTGTCCGTGGGAGAGAGGTTCATGCACCGGACGTCACCAGTGACTGAGATCCTGCCAGTCACTTCTGTCGGGCGGATCCTCCGGACCTCAATCATAGATTTACCACTCTCCTCTTCCCCATAGCACACGTGGTAATCTTGTCCAGCTGTGATACTAGAAGCCCCAGGTTCGATCCTGAAAGTTGTATGAGAGACCTCGATAGCAGGTTTCTGTGACTCCCCCCACACAGTGACTACCCCCTGGACGGCTGGCTCGGCCTCGATGGACAGACAACCTGAGGCAACCATACCCAGACTGCGACCTCCGATACAGTGCAAATTGGTCACGTGAGATTGCGCTTCCATGTGAAAATCTGCTACAGGCTTTAACTCTGGGTAAGTCAACAGGAAAATCTTTCCTCCGATAGACATGGCCAGGAGCTTCCCATCATCTGATGTAGCCAACTGGCAATCCGAGCTGGAGGTGCGGAGGGCCTGGCACTCTGACTTGCTCACAATCTCTGCCACTGCTGTACATTTCTGCTCACCATTTGACCGTTCTATAACCAGTGTCCAATTTTCAGAAGAGAGGTAAATTAAGTCCTTCCCGTCTGCAGTGAGCACTGGCCGGCCCGTGACTCCAGCGCACATGTACTTGATAACCTCGAAGGTGGACAGGTCGACTCGGGACAGCACGGTCACTTTCTCCTCACCATCTCCCAAGGCTTCACCACCTGTGCCTGAATCTGTGAGCACCATGACGTCGTTTCCCCGTAGCATTACGCTGGACAGACCGACCAGGGATTTGTCAGCTTCCCCATGACGTGGCGCCAGACACGCAAGACTAGGAATTAATGCCGTTCTTCGTTGACTTGTCAGGTAGGAGCGAGCACAGTCCTTGAGGTATCTGAGGGCCGTTTGGGATGGGGTGGTCGTGATGTGCGCCAGCACGGAGAAGGCACAGACAGCCGCATCCCGCAGAGAGGTCTTACACCGCTGGACAAAGTTGACAACCTGCTCCACCTCGCAATCTTTATGTGCGCTCAGGAACTTCTCCATCTCGTGGATGAAACTGTCCACCCCGACTGCAGCCACTTTGCAGCGGATGTAGGTCAGGTTACAGTAAGTCTTCTTTTTGGCAAACTCTAGATCTATAACGCTGAGAGATTTGCGCAGGTGATATGGTAGACACTCCAGTTGTCTCAGGTTGGCCGAGGTCATCACCTGGGGTGTTGTGTTCCGGTCAGCCGCTGGGATGTGGAGATTTCTGCGCTGCGTCAAAGTGATGTCCTTCTTCACTCCACTCTCAGAGGCAAAGTACTCAAACAGGACCCGGTGAAGTTCTTGCCCCTGTTCGCCCTGTGTATACCTCTCCCTTGCAACCTCTATAAACTGTCGGTGGTACCAGCATAGAGTAATTTGCCCCTGTGACTGTCTTTCCACAAGGTACTCCTGGATGTCGTACCGGAGCCTGGCCCACATGACTGTAGGGACTCGAACCATGCCCGGCACGGGAGGGTCGTGGTACTTATACGCCTCCACCATCGCAGCATCCACACATGAGACTGCATCCTCCAGCTCAATCTCGCTGAGTCCATTGAGTCCGGCGGTCAACACACCCAGCGCCGACCGCACAAACACTGGCCCAAACTTGACCTCCAGTTGTTGGAAGAGCTGGGTGATGGCTTCTCGCACGGAACCAGGCAGTGTTAGGCTGGAAACAGCCCGTTGGGAGCTCCAGCCCAGCGCCTCATCCATCAGCAGCTTGAGGTAGAGGGGCTGCGGAGACTTCTGGAACGTGTCCAGTATGAATTTCATCTGCTCTGTCGTGACACACCTCTGCTTCAAGGTCAGATACTTGTCCACAATTTCCTGGCTTGTGTCTGGAGGCAACACCTGCACCTCCAGAAAGTTTTTGTCCTCTCCCACCACTTTCCTCAGGTTCCCCAGAATACCATGCTCAGTGGGCAGCGTGGACAAAATCAGCTTAAAGTTGGCAGGCAGATTGACAGCAAGCCACCAGCATGAGTATGCGTCGTAGCTGGACTCTAGCTGATCCAGGGAGTCCAGGAAAATTATGATCGGCTGTTTCAGTGTGTTGGACATAGCCCGGAAAAATCTGGCTGTGTACTGAACCAAGGCCTTCATGGTCTTATAGCCTTGAGGTTCCATTATGACTTGGGCGTTGTCGGCCAGCTGACCACACACACTGCGCAGCACACAGTAGATATCAGTGCTGTACATCGACGTCCCCAAAAAGCGAATCACACCCACATGATCCTCTTTGACCCATGATCTCAGGCTACTCATAGCTTTTGCCATCACCGATGTCTTGCCGGCGCCGGACTGTGCATGCAGGACCAGCGGCTTCCGGTTGCTAGGGTCAAGGACATAGGCTTTGATCTGTTCAAGCGTCTGCTCCTGGCCACAGAATGACTGGCACTTAGTCAGGCAGAAGTGAGCATGATGTAGCACCTCCCCGTATTGGGAGGCGTAGTTCCTCTGTCGAATCAGAGTCTCCTTGGCAAGCTGGTCAGCCTGAATAAGAAGCTTGACCCTCTCCACGAAGTCTTGACACAGCTCGGTGATGTACTGGCCATGTTCTGGGTTGCTGGACGGCTGGACACCTCCGGCCTGCCATGTCACGCTGTAGGACTTTCTGTTCTCTTTGGGTAAACATGAGGAGACTTCCGTCTTCAAGTTTGTCAGGCATGCCTCTACATCCGTGTTGGTGACAGTCTAGGAGAAACAGTGGGGGAAAAAGGTGG